TCTGGCCGGGAACGGTGTCTGGAATGGGATGTTTTTTTCTTTCAGCGCCGCTTTAGCTTCTGCATACGCTCTCCTTTTCCTCAGCAGCTCCGGTGCGTAGTCGTGGTCCAGGTGAATCCGCTTCCCTTGAAAATCAAAACCTTTTTTCTGCCATGCTCGTTTAATGACCTCCTCTTTCATCCTATAGCTTGAGAACTTGACCACAAATGATCTCGGCGGAGCTCCGACCGGCGGCTTGGTGGCGAGCGCCCGGTGCGCTCTCTCAACATTTAACACTGTAGATGGAGGGAGCTCCAGACCCTTCATTAAGAAAGCTTCCACAAAAGTTGTCACCGACGCTGCGCCTTCTTCAGCTCCTTCTTTAACTCCGTGAATCCTCACGTTGTCCTGTCGCGAGCGTCCCTCCAGATCCATCAACTTAGCCTCTGTTTGCATCTGAAGTTTCACCAGCTCCGCTAAGACCTCCTCCGATGACTGGATGCGGGTCTCGACTGTTTCAATTCGCTCCTCTGCTTCTTCCATTCTTTTGTCGATTTTCTTAAAGTCCTCTCTTATGCCGTTGAGTTGTTCACTGAAATCCCGTCTAAGTTCCCGGAGCTCTGTCAGGATTAAGCCCAGGCTAGCTTCCTGGCTCGGCCCAGCTACGGTGTCAACCTGCAGGTCATCCTCCATGTTGCTAACGCTGCTAGCTTGTGACAGTTCGCCCTCTTCGTCCTCGTCGTGTGTATTTCTTCGTATTAGTCTTTTCTTCACTTTTTGGGGCATGTTCTTTCCCCTGCTGTGTCCCCTCTTGTTGTAGCACGTCTTCGAGAAAATTCGAGTTATATGCGGACACTTTTAATTCCCACTATCGGGAGCCTATCGCTCTAAGCTGCCATCATGTAACACACCAGACCGGAAGTCGGAGAATGATCTTTGATATTTCCTTGTGTTTAGAAGCATACAGCAATATGTTATCGTGGTTTTGAAGTTCAGACTTTCAGCTTTAATTCAGAATCCTTCAGTTCAGGGGCTCAAAAGTAAGTGGACAAATAAATAACTGGAAACAAGATGTTCATTTCTAATACTTGGTTGAAAACTCTTTGCTGGCACTGGTTGCCTGGAGCCTTGAACTCATGGACACCTCCAGACGCTGGGGTTCCTCCTCAACGCTCTGCCAGGCCAGCGGTGTTCAGCTGCTCTTTGTTTGTGGGCCTTTCTTCTGAAGTTCCGTCTCTAACAGGTGAAATGCTGCTTAGCTGGGTTGAGACCAGGTGACTGACTTGGTCATTCGAGGTTATTCCACTTCTTTGCTTCAGTGACGTCCGGGGTTGCTTTGGCTGTATGTTCTGGGTCTTTGTCCATCTGTACTATGAAACGCTGCCCAAACAGTTTGGGTGTGTTTGAGCCAACAGTATGTCTCTGAACACCCCAGAGTTCATCCAGCTGGTTCTGTCCTGTGTCACACCATCAATAAAGCCCAGTGACCTGGTGCCACTGGCAGCCAGGCATGGCCGCGCCATCACACTGCCTCTGCCATGTTTTACAGATGCTCTGCTGTGCTTTGGATCATGAGCTGTACCACGCCCGGTCCAGACTTTCTTCTTGCCATCATCCTGGTACAGGTTGATCTTGGTTTCATCTGTCCAAACAATGTTCTTCCAGAACTCTGCTGGCTTTTTAGATGTCGAATCTAGCCTTTCTGTTGTTGGGCATGAAGTCACTGTGCAGTGAATCCTCTGGACTTACACTCATACAGTCTTCTCTTCATGGTAGACTTGGACAAAGACACGCCGACCTCCTGGAGAGTGGTTCTGACTTGGCTGGCTGTTGTGAAGGGCGTTCTCTTCACTGTGATCATCCACCGTGGACGTCCAGGTCTTTTTGTGTTGCCGAGTTCACCGGTGCTTTCTGTCTTTCTCAGGACCAGACTGGAGATTTTGCCACTCCTAGTATTGTAACAATGATTATGGGTTCCTTCTGTTTTCGCAGCTTAAAGACGAATTGTTTCACCTGGAGAGCTCCTTCACTGCATGTTGTCTTCACAGCAACATCTTCCAAATGCAGGCGCCACACCTCACATCAGCTCCAGGCCTTTTACATGTTTAATTGGTAACGACATAATGAAGGAACTGCCCACACCTGCCCATAAATGGCCTTTGAGTTAGCTGTCCAACTACTTGTGGTCCCTTTTAAAACAGGGTGGCACATGTTAATGAACTGAAACTTCTGAACTCTTCATCCAACTTGAATGTGGAGATCCTTAAATGAAAGCTGGGAGTCTGCACTCTATGTCCATTATGGACCTATAATTGGAATAAGTTTCATTAAACAGGTAAAAAAACGAAACTTGTGTCAGTGTCCATATATGGACCTAACAGTATTCAGAGTCAGAGCTCTAAAAACAACTCGTCTTGGGCACCCTTATAGCTCACCTAGTTGAGCGGGTGACCCATGAACAGGGGCTACAGTCCCCAACGCAGCGGTTGTGAGTTCGAATCCCGCTCATGACCCTTTGCTGCAGGTCTCTTCCCAATTCTTCTCTCCCCTTTCCTGTCTCTCTACTGCTCTAAATAAAAACAACTCGTCTTTCCCGTTTCCATTGACCAGGCCAGTGACAGCACCCATAACAATGGCTTTTAGCTGTGAAACGCACGCTGGTGTGTGAATAGAAACTAGAAGAGGGGGCTGATCACCGTGTGGAGAATCCTTGGAGGCTCAAAGTTCAGGCTGCAGCCACACAGGGAGGGTCTCAGATGTGTAGAATCAGCTCTGAGGGCTTGATGGAACTGAATGCTGATAAACTGTGTCATCTGCTGACCCGTTTGATTTGCATGCAAACTGTAGTTTGAGCAGCGAGTACACCAGAAAAGTGGTGATCTGAGTTTTATGTTTAATTCAGCCTACTGATCGGACTTGACTGTGTGTATGGTGACCTGCTGCTGCTGGTACAGTACCTGGCTGATGGAAGCTTGGGGAGAGCTCTCTGGCCACAGCCCTGGCGATATCAGAGTCCTGACTAGCCGACTGGGCAGCCTGGTCTGCAGCCTCTGCTTTGGCCCGAGCATGGGACGTCCTGCAAAACCAGGTACAAACAGCACACAGACTCAGTGAGGTCCTCACACAGCGCACTCAGCTCTGGTTTCTGGTCACTGAATAAACCCTAAAAAGCTGATCTCTGTGTATCCAGTATTTAGAAGTCTTTATACACTTGCTTGCTAACTGCAAGTTGGCTAAAAACATAACCTCCTACTGAATCTGTTGGGCCCTGATGGGGTTGAGTACGTAAACCTGTCCAGGCCTACTCTCATGAAGGCATAGTCCTGACAGTGAACCGCGGGGGTAGGAGTGGTGACATGAGGCCAGATTGGTGCAAAATGTGTTGTGGAGATGACATCTACAGATGGCACCGCTAACAAGATGAGAACCAGTCTGTAGGAGCCTGGCAGAAGAGAAATGCTCCAGTGTGATAACAATCCAAAGCACAGTGCCAAAACCACAGACGAGTCGAAAACCATGGCCAGGCCAACTTAGGCAACTAGAAAAACAACTCGAGTCTCTCAAAAATATCAGGTATCTCTTCAGGAACCTGTAGACACTGGTTTCCCCCATGCAGAGGAGGACTGAGTCTGTCTTTGTTTTAAAAGCAAAAAAGGGTCTACAAATGAAGACCTGACAAAAACAAAAAGATCTGAATTTTAGTAATGAAGGTAAAACTTAGTTGCACTGAGTTCCTTCTGTGGGGCCTGAAGTTTTAGAACAGCCAATCTAAACAGTTTATTTTTTATTTAAATAAAGGCAGAGATTCGACTGTTCGACTAGAAACTATGAGATTACTATAAAGGTGATACAACTTCAGGTAACATTTCAGTGTTATGAGGCTGCTCGGTGGCTCAGTGGTTAGCACCGTCGCCTCACAGCAAGACGCCCATCCCAGCTGACTCAGGGTGAAGGCAGGTTCACCTGGACAGGTAACCAGTCTATCACAGGGTTACACTTAGAGACAGACAACCAAGCACACTCACATTCACACCTACGGACAATTTAGAATCACCAATTAACCTCAGCATGTTTCTGGACTGTGGGAGGAAGCCGGAGAACCCGGAGAGAACCCACGCTGCACGGGGAGAACATGGAGACTCCACGCAGGAAGATCCCGGGTGTCCTCACCGGGACGCCAACCAGCGACCTTCTGGCTTTGAGGCCACGGTGCTAACCACCGAGACACCTGCTGCAAAACATGCAATTTAAAAAAAAAAAAAAAGTTCCGAAACAATATACATACGTAGAGAAAAGACAACCTGACAAACATGAGATGGTCAGGTGTGAACCTTTTGTACACTTTGGTCAACTGAGGTGGAAAGTGTGGTGGAGAGCGTCCTGACATCCTGCATTTCCACATGGTCCTCCAGCTGCAGTGTGTCAGACAGAAAGCCCTGCAGAGGATAGTTAGAGGAGCTCAGAGGGTCTCCTCTGTCCAAGAACTTCTCCAGAGCTGCTGCAGGAGCAGGACCCTGAACATGGTCAGGGACTCCTCACACCCTCTCCATCAACTGTCTGAACTGCTGCCATCAGCCAAATGTTTCTGGAGCATTGAAGGAAGAACCTCCAGACTGATCAGCAGCTTCATGCCACCAGCTGTCAGAACGCTGAAGTGCTGGTCCAGAGATGCCAACACTTCTTCATTTAAATGCTTTTAGTTCCTGGATCCTGGAGAAAGGCTCTCTCATCCTGCCTGTCCTGCTGTGGACGTACAGCACCATGACAACAAACTGGATCTGATCTGATCTGAATGACCCATATACACACAGTATTGTACAGTTAATTAGCCATAGTGGAAACTAGCTGGTACTGCGTTAGCACACCATGGCTAAGTACATCCTTGTGAACGCTGGTGTGAGCGATGAGCCTTTAGCTACAACAGTCCTAGCTGCTAGCACAGCAGGGCAAATCTTTTGTCACTGAAATGATCCAAAAACTTAGATTTTGGTATTTTGTCCTGCTTGTCTATAAGAACAATCCCAGGTTTCTGTTCAGCACTGTAGCCAGGCTGACCAGGAGTCATAGTTCTGTGGAGCCTTCTGTTCCTTTAGCTCTCAGCAGTGAAGATTTCATGACCTTCTTCACAAATAAAGTTTTAAATACTAGACAAAAAATCCAGACTATGTCTTTAGGTGCAGCGGCTCTGGAAGCGTCCACAGAAGTAGATGTGTGTTTGGACAGCTTCTCTACTGTGAAACTCTTAGAGCTCACATCAATAGTTAATTCTTCTAAACCAGCAACATGTATGTTGGACCCCATTCCCACTAGACTGTTTAAGGAGATCTTTCCTTTAATGAACAGTACAGT